AGGAGGAGGAGGAGGAGGAGGGGGAGCGGGCGGCTGATTACTGCTGTCAAACAAAAGGACCTGTGTTCACCAGCCCAGACTGTGAACACACACACACACACACACACACACACACACACACACACTGTCCCTTAACACAGTGCTCTGAATACGTGTGTGTGTGTGTGTGTGTGTGGTTGGTGAGTCTGACACATAAAAACCCAAACTTGTCAACTCTCTTTGACGTCTCTTCACTGGAAGGAATTGTTTTGGAGTGTTACATATATGTTTATATGTTTATATGTTTATATGTTTATATAGACATATATTTAAGCTGAGGAAGATTTAGTTTCTCCGAGGCTGGTGTCTGATGACAGATTTTAATAATGCTGACAATGAGACCATGAAAAAAACAAAAACAAAAAAAAACCGGTTGAATTTGGGCAGAGAGAACGCCGGCGCTCTGTACGACTGACGGAGGACGATTGAGGAGTCGTGATTCTCTCCTTTCACTTCACTTCACTTCAGTTCTGTGGATTTCTGAAATAAAATACTTGAACTCCACATCTGCAACAAACGATCAAGAAGTAGAAAAAATCACAGGAGATTCTTCAGCAGAAACAAAAGGATTTATGACCTTTCAAAGTACACAGCAATGTTAGCTAAATCTGTCCGTGTGTGTGTGTGTGTGTGTGTGTGTGTGTGTGTTCTTTCACTCATTTAGCACAGATTCAGGAGAGGAAGCACATTTGACCAGACACCTAATTATAGTCCAGAGTGGTTGTCATGGTAACCAGCCCACAATGACTGTATGATCTTAAATCTTCAGAAGAATAAAAAAGCAGCTTCTCTGTATTGCAGTACTGGAACTGCATACAGTACAGTCTGCTGTTGTTTACTACAGTAATCATTAATATTTCACAGCAGAAACTGCAGTATTTATATGGATTTATAAAATTATCCAGTTGCACCAAATTGCTCTGAAAAGTATCATTTATTGACTTTTTTTCATGGCATTTGTCTGTGCTACGTTGACAGGCAGAACAAATAAATACTCTTCCACTAGGTGGCAGCAGGTGCCTATAAAACTAAAAAAAAAAAAAGAGGAGGAGACTCAGAGCTGTTGAGGTTCTTTTTGTCTTTCTTTAATTCCTGCCAGTATGTCAGTGTTGTGTTCAACTAAACAGGATCGCTGCAGTAAAGTGAGTTGATCAATATTTTTCATTACATTTACTTTTTGGATCTTTTTTATTTGTTGGTGGGACTTTTTTCTAAAGTGAAATATATATATATATATATATATATATACTGGTATATATTGAGTACAATGCGGCCCATCATTACCATATATGGCGCAGCTTCCTGTCTATCGACTGATTGTTTATAAACGACCTGTTTCTTTTTTCTGCGTTTGCACAGTTTTCTAAATCTCTGAAGCACTTTGGGGAGGACGAAGGAAGGATGCAGCCAGACGAGTTCTTCGGCATCTTTGACACCTTTCTACAGTCGTTCTGCGAAGCACGGCAGGACCTGGAGAACATGCAGAGACGCAAGGAGGAGGAGGAGCGGAGGGCACGGATGGAGGCCATGGTAGGACGGGGGTGTGACGAGAATGAGTGCCGTCTGTGATGTCACTCTTTTCATGTTGAATGTGTGGCTTTTGTTACAGCTAAAAGATCAGAGGGAACGAGAACGGCGTACCAAGAAGACGGGAGCCAGCGACGAGGTCGGTGGAGAGTTTGATGACCTGGTGTCAGCGCTGCGTTCTGGCGAGGTCTTTGACAAGGACCTGAACAAGTTCAAGCGAAACCGCAAGCGTTCTGTAAACCAGCTGGTGGAGGGCGGCGGGCGCGAGCGAGCTGTTACTAAGGTCAACTACTAGTCTGGGGACAGGAAGGACACAACGACACTACAACACCTTTAATTCTGCCCTGGTGGAGCTGGATTAGCACCTTTAGTCCAGGTCCTCAAACAGTGACCACGGCCACCGGGGCGGACGTTACTACGGCTGGACTGGACACGGACCGACAGTTCTGCTGATTCGAAGGATGCAACACTTTACTCTGGAATCTCATCGACCCGTCGGACCTAGAGGTTGAGTGATCTCCTGAGCTGGACACAGGACATCAGAGATGGACGGATGGACGGACGGACCACTGTGATACATTATCCCTTCACCACCTCGTCCTCCGACCCTCCA